ACGATCAAAATATGCAGTTTCTTGAGATACAAGAGATTTAAATAATAATTCTCTGAGTCTTTTTGTAATTTTGTAACCTAATAATAGAACAAAATTAATAATACTAATACTAAAAACATACAAAAATATATAAATGCTTATTTTTTAAATTCTTTTTAAATAGATACTATCATATTTTAAAATTTTCTTTCATACATTTTTTTCCTACACAAAATTATGCATTAATAACATGGCTACTCATTCGTACTTTCAAAGCTAGACATTTTCACCCTTTTTTCCTCACAAATTGATGCTGATTTCCATTTTTTTCAAGGTCAACTTGATGGTTCAATTAATGCCCCAGATCACTTTTCCTCTATTAATTTCCGTGTTCCTGCCTACCCCTCAATACATCATGCATCATTTTATATCTCTACTCACTCCACCACCTACAGTCACAACCATCCTTTACACCGCATGTTTCATTGTGTCAATAAAGCCATCAAGTTTATTCTGAATATATTTGCTTTAATATTGTTTGTTTATATAGTACTTTATTTTTCTTTCGCTATTTGCAAGAAATAGTCTTAGTTTTAAGTCTATTAAATTTATTTGTACTGTTATCGTTTCATTTTAATTTATTTAGTACTTTTATTTAATCACTGTAAATTGCCGTTTGACGTTAATAAAATAAAAATTAAAATAAAAGTAGCTACCTACATAAAATGAGTAGAAAACTATTTATGAACTAAAACAAATAAGAGTCGATTATTTAAATTAGCAAAGATTAGTTTATATAAATATTAGATTTAATAGTGGCCAGTAGATAGTCAAAGATATAACTAATGTATAGACTCTGTAAAAAATTATTAATTAACATCCAAAAGTAACTATCTCATTTATTTTGTGACAACTTGATAAGAATAGTTTGTTAAGGATAAAATTCAACAAAAATACAGCAGTATTTGAAAAAAAAAAAATATAAAATTAAATATTTGAAATATTATAATTAACTCCATTAGTAAATATAAGTTTTATATTAAATTATTATTCTAATTATTTAAGTATTATACTTAAATAGTAAATTGTTTCA